GTTAAATCCACCAGGAATCTTGCTTTAAGAAAGTCTATCCCCTAATAATTCCCGTGTACCAAGGCCTCGATAGTAGCTCGAATACCCACCATATTTGATGATTGTGACATTTTGAAGACTCGTATGTATCCGAAGAATAATATGTTTCATTGGAACGACCTGACATCAAATGGCTTTTAGATTCAGCAATGGCAAAGAAAGACAACAAAGATCTGCCAAAGACGGCCCAGCAGGATAAAAAGGCAAGACAAGAGTTGAACACTGCATCATACAATGTTTGGACATTAGTTCTGCAAGTGCTTTGCTGCGGCTTGATAACAGGAGGAGCAAGCTAGAACGAGGGAACAATTTTATTAACTTAAGCATTTTATTCCGCAAAGGATCCGAAGATTTTTTTGAGCCAAGGTCAACGTCATTCAAGACCTGGACAAGGCGTCACCAACGCCTTTCTTTATGTTACCTACCCTGAAGAATTCACTCTTCTAATAATGTTTATATCCGTTTAATGACATTTTTATAGATCACTATTGGCCAGTGAACTCTAAATCAAACCCTGGTGAACTTTCTTGCACGATGTCACCACCAATAACATCATCTGTTCTCAATTGACATGCATTTTCACGACAAAACGATGCGCGGAACAATGAACCTCCCGTCATGTCATATCGTGCATTTATGTCGCGCCGCTTTCTTCAGAGTCGGCTCAACTCTGTCCCGATTCTCCAGAGGCGAGCCCGAAACTTTCCCCAAAGCTGACGCTGAGCTTTAACACGACGGGTAGAACCGGACTCAGGTCAGCCAAAGGACATGCCACGCTAGAGATCAGCTGGTCCATGCATCAATCACGAGTTTTCGCATTTTATACGATGAGTCAATTCATTATCAGTGTTAAATAGAGAGAAATACCTCGATCATGCGATTAAGTCATTGCTGATCATCATTACGTCTTTAAAACTATGGCACTACAAGGCCTAACTCGGAAAATACTGGCAACGTCCCTTGTTGCTGTGATTACTGCTGGCGGTGTCTATGGCTACTCGATTCAGAAGCGCGTGTCCAAGGTTGATCGGAATCTGATAACGCGGTTCAAGACCGTGCCAGAGAAATTTCAGAAGTCGAGATCTGTCAGCGAGGTTGTCAACGCGAAACAGCACATATACGACTCTGACTCTCGATACATCACGCTCGACATACCACCTCAACATCGCGATGTATCCGATGAAGTTTTATTGGCAAAATTCGTCAAAGGATATTTTGGAGGTGCTGTGATTAGACCGGAACGAGTTGCGCTCTCAACTCTTGGTATGGCCCTTGTCAACTTTTCAAGTGAGTCCGTTCTTTGCCTCAGTGTCATTAAGTGGTTAACGAGATGAAAAGAATCAGGACCAGCCCCGAGAAAGTTGTGGTCATGCACAGAACTTCCTGAAGTCTCATTACCCCCGGTCAACACCATTCTATACGGAGTTTTTCAAGTTCTTGAGACTGAGATTGGTGCCAAAGTTGCATCAAATCGCACTGAGAGCCATGTCGACTTTGGATTTGGAAGTGACAGTGATGTATTTGCTGGAGTCCACAGATTCGTGGTTGTGAGGACGAAGGAAGAGAAGAATGAAGAAACAGTGCAGATTCACTATGAGTCCATGACTTGCAACCCTACTCAAAACAAGCCTCTGAGGCCACGGATCTTGTTCAAATTTCATGAGTTTTACGCAGACTTGTTGTTTAGGGATGCAATATCGGAGATCGAACAGTGGATGGGCCAGTCTTGATTTGTTGGGCGGCGGAAAGGATTATCTCTTCTCTAAAACTTTGTCTTATTACTGTTAAATACCAACGAGCCTATTAATCGACCATCCAGTCCATTGAGTCTCTTCCACAAGTAGCCCTGAACGTAGGGTAAAGTCGTGTTTGACTCAGCGAGTCTTATCTGGTAGCGTTACGAGAAAAGTAAATTGTATGACAAACCACACAAGTAACATAGCGATTCCTACACCCAAGGACTGGGGTCCAAAAGTTGCAGGAGTACTCTCAAGGGTACCCCAAACGACGAGAAGGGCTCCGTTCAAGAAGGAGAGAAACGACAAAATCGCTAAGTTATCCCTCGTCGAAGTGATCTTCTGAATCGACTCCGAACCGTCGTAGCGAGGGAAAAAGCGGTCACTCAGATGTGGAAGAGTCACCAGGAGACTGAGGTGTGCCAAAGAGGCATAGAAGAATTCTTTCATGGGGTTAGAGATGCCCAAGGCTTTAGTTGTCAACATTGCTCACCTTTAGTAAAATCTCCGCTGCATATGCACAACATGTTGCCCTTCGAGAATACTGAGAAGATCTGGGGTTGCTGATGATGGCTGATACTCGATATAATCGATCGAGGGAAGGAATTTATGTTGGTGAATGAGGCTAGAAAGAATTAGAGAACATACTCTGGACGAAATGCCCCTCGCATGTGCTGTTGGGCACTTTATACCCCATGATCTATATTTTTACTTTTGGATAGCTCTTTCTGTAAGCTATTCAAGCACCATGCTGGAAAAATTAAACTATGTGCTGATATGCTATTTGCTGTAGAGCCATATTTGATATGGCTGAGAGTTTAAGATTACCACCACCGACAGAACTTAGAACTTAGAACTTATGTAAACTTGCCAATATCATCAGGACATGTCAAGATGAATAATTAAAGACAGAACCTTATGTTGAGTAAACTTTCAGGCAGTGTGAACACTCGCTTGTATGGTTGTATCCAGGCAATTGGCTTCAGAAAGTTTTTTAAACAAGCAAACTTATCATTAAAATCACCACATGTATCTATGAAGCCTTTCTCCTTCCTGTCTCATGAAATTACCATGCATCGTCTAAGCACTAGCTGCAACAGCCACTGGCCCCTCAGGCAGCTTACTACCAGCAATGTTACACTGACGGAACAATCTAACCTCGTCTTCCGCAAAAGCACCAACCACTGAATGGATCACGCCCCGATTGTGAAAGAGAACAAGATCTCCTTGCTCCCAATCATGAGGATAAACCTTTTCAGGAGCAATGCCAGGGCGCTGAAGCTCGTGGACCCGCTCCCGAACGGCAGCAAGATCATCGATCACAGTACCATCCGCGAGGTGCAGCTTGCGAACAGCAGATGGATGAACTTGGAGTGCTAAGCGGCCTGTGACAGGGTTACGCCAGCACATAGGAAGGATCTGGATCTTATCCTCCTCCACAGGGGGAAGATTCTCGACAGGAATCTCTTTGCCCTCGGAGACCATGCCCAGGCCATCGGAGCGGGACTTTGCACCGCTCATCCAAACATATGGATGCGGAGCGTATTCAACCTTTGTGGTACGCACGAACTCCTTATCCTCAGGCGAAAGCCGGTCGTACATGGCATAACCCGACACAAAGGCTGTAGTACCAAGTGGGACGGTTAACTCCTCATTGGATCCGTCGTCATAGACGAGGGTCTGTTTGCGACCTCCGGGGACACGAACAGCGAGGAGTGCTGTAACCACTGGGGGAGCGAGGCCATACAGAGCGGCGTCAATGTGCCATCTGTAGAACCTGGTGAAGTCCAGATCCTTCTCATCAGGGATAGTAGTGGCGTGGAATGTACGATGATGAGGATGTCGGAGCTGAATGTTCTTCAGCCCTTCATACTCCTCAATGAAGCCGTTTCCAATGACCTGGACTTGGGGCTGATGAGGGATGGTCTTGAGGTCAGGGTGGAGGACTGAGCGCTTTACGTCAAGGGTCTTTCCATGGCCATAAGAGCCCGTAGCTTCAGGATCGAAACGCTGGGTGATTTCGTACTGGGCCTTGGGGGAAAGGTGGTTCTGGTTCTTGAAGACGAGAACTTGGTGGGTGAAGAGTGCTTCACGGATCACGTCGAAGTCGGCATCTGGGAACAGTCAGCCCGGGCTCATTGTTGATGAGAGACATGTCTTACCAGAGGAGGTTACCGATTTTTACGGGTATTCTCCCACTATGTGTTGTTTCAATCATTCACGAATATGTTTATGGTATCTTACCACTGATGTTTTCAACGTCAATGTTTGAGACGATGGCGCCAAAGTCAATGCTTGACTCGGCTGATGGAGAGATGGGAGTGACTGTTATTTGAGAGGCCATTGCGATAATATTGTCTGAAGAACACTTGTAGCAAGCCTGTAATAAGTCTTGGTATTAAATTTGTTGTTCAAGTCAAGACAAGGGGATTGTTTGTCTTTTATATTGCTATCTGAGGTTGATCGTTAGAGCGGGTCGCGGCGGTCGCCTATCTTTCTTATCAGCTCCGAGGATAAATCCGCTTTCGTTATCTCTCCGTACTCCGTAGCAAGCTACACGCCCGATACTGCTCTTATCACCGATTTGCTTATCAAAGGACGTCTATTGTGCTTCTCCTATCATTGATTGATGTGGCAAACAATGGCAAACAATCAGGGTTCGGCAACTCTTGTTGATATTTCAGCGAGATAAACCAAGATGGCCCGCCAGAATGAAGGCCCTTTGGCACAAGCATACAAGCAGACAAATGTATCGTTTGGCCGCACATCTGATGATATGATCAAGCTTGTGGAGTTAAGTTTCGGTGATCACTCAAATAATATTCGCTATGATCATAGATACTATGAATGTGTTCTTTGTTTCTGCATTAACTGCTTTGAAATTACGAACAATAAAAGTAATCGTAAATATACGTCTTCCTTCAATGAACACCTTGCATGAGAACTCTGGGACGTGCGTACCTGTTGAACAACTGAACATGCTGTCCGGCTCTTATTTCTTTCCGGCACTGGACTCAAGTTCAATCACTAATCTTTTGTACAGAGGCAAATTGACTAGGTTAGGTGCATGATGAAGGCCGTGATCTCTCAATGATTGGCTACAAATGGCATATGTGCGTAAATAATAGTCCAGATATTAATATGAGATAACTATATAAGAATCGTGATCTTTTTAGAATTCTGAAGGCCAGCCATCATCGAGAAATAACTCCAAAGTCCTAAATCATGTCTTCTCCAGTACCACAGCTTGATACCTTTACCAGCTTTCCCAAGCTACCAACAGAGCTACGACTCATGATATGGGAACTGGCTCTGGATCGGCCTTGTCACACAGTCCATGTATACCCTTTAGAAGACGGCCCTGACCCTGAACCGATCAGTAGGCCGACACTTAATTTCATCCTCGAGAGAGAGTATGATTTGTGCATGAAGCATAAAGGTGAGACAGTAAGCGACTATGAGAAAGGAGAAAAAGACAAGGGCATGTGGAAGGCATGCAAAGAGTCCAGGGAAGTCATGAAGAAGCATACCAAAGGACCTCTCGAATCATATTTCGATAACCTCTTCACAGCGAGACTTACCAGTGTCCTAGGTGCAGATATTATACATCTCGTACGGATACCATATCTCCTGAACGAAGTCGCCACCATGGGCATCAGACCCGGCACAAGCCTTACGGGAAAAGTTGATAGGGCTATAAAATCAGAAAATATTTTCCTGATTGATATTAAACGCCCTTTACATCGCATGAGCGCCCGTTTCGCTGTATGGAGGTTTGCCGAGTGGTTTGCGCCCCTTGGTCGAGTCTTTCTCGTTGACTACAGATTGAAACGAAGTAGGCCTATAGAGACTGGGGCTAGTGTACCGGATGTTATATTCGAGAGAAATGGGAGGCGCTTTGTTAAGGTTCGTATGGATGGTGCCGGGTGGGAGAAAGACGTTCCGGGACAGGGAAACCAGCGTGTGCGCAATCTGATTCCGGACGGACATCGCATGAGATTTCACATTGCTGCCTGCGAGTACGTATAGGAGTATAATAGGTGATATGGGGTTACAGAACTGTGAGGATGTTGGGCGTGTAGGGGGGCAGTAAGTACCTATGTAGACGGCTGTCCCAAGATGAGAGCTGGAACATATAGTGGCCATTTTCGAAGGCTCGTTTCAGTCACCACTGGGAAAAACTAAGCTCACTAAACAGATAAGATAGTGAGTCCCATCAGATAATAAACCCGAGCTGTCAGAAGATGAAACTGATCTGATTGTGACTAACAATCCCGAAGCTACCTCAACGGCAATTGTCCGTCCAAGCAATGGCGCAATCGCAACCTCTATCCTCATTAGGAAATTTCAAGGGCTAATCAACACCGCGATCATCTCCCCTGAACTTAGAAACTGTGCAAGACTCAATTGGCACCACCTCAATTCACAAAAACCCCAGATTCGTAGCACTCGAAAATAACGTCATCCTCAATTCGAGGCTCTGATTGGCTAGTTTCGCCGCTGACATGCTTAGCTTGTTTCGTTGATGGTGGGAGTACGACTCCGTGATATTGCAGCTCGAGCACGCAATACGCCAACAAAGGCGTCATTACACTGCGGGGGCCGGTAACGGATGGTACCTGGGTAAAAGGGTATATATAAGATGATTGCCGAGGATAGCAATTGATGTCAATTGACTCACTACTCAAATTGGAATCGTTGTCTTGTCTTTATAGCGTCCTTACATCAATCACAATGGCTCCAGGTGCTCTCATCGACGAGTCTTCCCAGACTCCTCTCCCCCAAGTCAAGAACGCAGATGCCCCTCGTTCAATCTTCCCCGATGGCATCCGTACCTCGGGTCAACATCCTCCTCTTTATGACGCATTGAAGCCTTACTCTGAGTTCCCCAAGGAGATCACTGGTCCTACGCTTTGGAAGAAGGAGGACTACGAGAACTCACCTGAGCGATGGACTCACCCTTTCACTGATGAGGAGATTCAAGAGTTGAGCGATACAGCTGATGCCTTCATTGCAAGTGGCACTCCCCTCACCGGCATTTCCAAGGTATGATGACAGTATCATAATACAATTTCAAAACTAACATGTTCAGTCAAACTTCCCTCTTCCAAACTTGGGTAGAGTCCTCGAGACACTTCGAGAAGACCTTCTCAACGGCAAGGGCTTTATTCTTTTCAAACGCTTCCCAGCTGGAGAATGGGGTCCTCTCAAGAACGCAGTAGCCTACATGGGTCTTGGTACATACATTGGTTACTTTGTCTCCCAAAACGGCCTCGGCCATGTCCTCGGCCACGTCAAGGATGTCGGTGATGATGCTACACAAATCGACCGCGTTCGTATCTATCGTACAACAGCTCGTCAGTACTTCCATGCTGATGACTCCGACATCGTCGGTCTTCTCTGCGTCCACCGTGCCAAGGAGGGTGGTGAGAGTGATATTGTCAGCATCCACAATGTCTGGAACGATCTTCAGAAGAACAACCCTGATGTTGCTGAACTTCTGACGCAACCAATCTGGTACTTTGACCGCAAGGGCGAGACCTCAGTTGGAGAGGAGGAATGGATTCGAAACCCCATCTTTTACATCGAGAACGGAGGCCAGGGTCGAGTTTACTGCAAGTGGGATCCTTACTTTGTGAGATCTCTTACAAGATTCTCTGACAAGGGTCTTATTCCTGCTCTGAGTGAGGAGCAAAAGCATGCTATGACTGTGCTGGAGGAGACTTGCCAGAAGTTGGCTTTGCATATGATTCTTGAGGTTGGAGATATTCAATTCGTTAGTAACACACATCTCCTCCATGCACGAACAGCATACACAGGTAAGATATCCCATTCAACAATCGTGCTGGTTATGAGAGTACTAATATGCTATAGACCACCTTCCTCCTGTCCCTCGAAGACATCTTCTTCGACTATGGCTCTCTACCCCCGAGACTGAAGGGGGATGGGCCCTTCCTTTCCATGACAGCAAGGAGAAGAAGAGAGGAGGCATTCAGGTCAACAACACTGCACCAAGATGCCCTCTAGATGCAGAGTAAAAGTACATTTTTGATAGATTAGCGTCACGATTTCATAACAATTAGCATATAAGAATAATAACAGTCAAAGACAATGAACCTTTTGATATTGTGACTAATCTTTATGCCTTTCTCCTATCCTTCCTTGATTCTTGGTCTGTTTGCTTGATACACCTGCGGGATATGACGCTCATCGAACCAAGTTCAGAATGCATCATTCTTATCAATCCGTATTTTTCTTGTCTATGTGCAAAGACATATTGTCTAATCCATTATCAACTCTATTCCAATCTAAAACATTGTGGTTACAAGAAGATCTATGCTCTACCCTCTAAAGCACCCACGCGATCATAGGCCTCATGAAAAAAGCGATCAAAAGGACGATGACAACTGGCAGGTATGCAAACATCTTAGACCAGTCAACATCCTCTATCAAGTCCTCCACACCTGGAGAAACCAAGTTGAAAGGAAACTGAGGAGGGTACAACTCTCTTCGTCGTCGTCCCCTTTCAAGAAGATGCTGTGCCTCATTCTCAATAGCCACGATAATGCTGTGGTACCCAGCCAAATTGCTGCGCACGTATAGCGTCTGACGAGGCTTGTCATACGTCCATTCTACGTTTGTTCCGTGGACACGTAGTTTGTGTGCGTCGTAGTGATACCCCGGGATAAAAATCTCAGTGAGATGTGTCTTCTCATCGACAGGTTCTTTGGTCGCTGTGCTGGTCCACTCATATTCGAAGCGTAGTGATTTATGGTTCCAGTTGGACTTTTTGGGAATGCCGGCTGTTTTCACAGCATATGGTCTGATGACCACGTCGAGGATACGACCGCCTTTGTAGAGCTCGTCATGCTCGTGAAGGTGGTTCCGGTAGTCAGGTCGCACGGGGCCATTCTCGCTGACCTCGTCACCATTGATGACAGAGAAATCCTCATTGTTCCACCCATCGCCGTATGCAACTCTGTTATTTGGGTTGTAGTTCCACAGTGTGTAGTTCAGTTTGTTGTATTCCATTGCGCAGATCAAGCCGTTCATCAAGTGGCGTTGCGCGTCGTAGCACCCTGTTTGGAACGCTTCTGCCTTGTTGATATCGTACGAGAGGCCGATCTCACCAATGACCATGGGAACTTTGCCCAGGGATTTCTTTCCGTACTTGACGACGTTGCCAAGTTGCCTTATGTAGTTATGTCGAAGTCCCGCAACGCCAAAGTAGAGTGCGTTGAGGACAAACATGCCTCGTGTGAGACCTTGCACGTTGACGCTCATCCACGAATGAGTCTTGTTAAAGAGGACGTTGAGATCGTAGAAATGAGGCGCATACACAAAGTTGTTTGGGCGTGGAACCTTGATCACTTCCTTCTCGGCATACTTCTGCTGAAGCCATTTCTTGTTATCAGGATCCTGCGTTGGCCAAGGCGGGATGAATTCATTGGGGATCGGTTCAATGAAGCTAAACTGCTTCGCCTTCTTGCGCGACACACGCTCCGTAAACTTCTGCAGAAAAGGCGCATAGCAGTCATTGTACCACTCAATAGGCTTTCCCTCACGACCGGGTCGATGATCAACCTCAAAATAATCATCGTCGCGAATGCGAGCTGTTTTCTTCTTTTCGTCCCACTCCCAGACGCCATGGGCGCGCCACAGGCATTCGCCCATTCCCCGACCGTGGCCGATAGGTTGGTCATTGCGGGACAGCCATGCAGAGCGACCTTTGGGGTCAATACGAGACTTGTGGGATACACGAGTTGGCCATGGCCATGATTTGACGTAGTAATCGACATCTTGGGCATAGCCACTTCCAAGGGCGAGAGATTGTGCGAGGGATGGGCAGTGGCCGATGTGTAAGTCGGTGTCGTAGTTCCAGAAGTGGAAATGATGAAGGTTGACGAGGCCGCGATGGGGTTCGTTCATAGGTTCAAAGCCAATGCATGCTTCGAGATGACTGACTTCATCTGCGAGGCGACCGAAGGCTTCGACGCAGGCATCTTGAAGCAATTGTTGTGCTGATACTTCATCGCCAGCGTCCTTTTTGCGACGACATTTGAGGTTGGGAGCTAAAGCATCACCAGCCCAAAAGAGAGTAGCCATTGTCGACGCAGCGAGCTTCTGGTAACCTGAAGGCCACAAGAATGGACCACCCGGCTCTTTTGGATTTGGTGGTGCATTCGCGCGCTTCTTCTCATCTTGACTGTGGACATATGCAGCGCCTGTGTCGGTGAAGGCCTCGATATCGAGACCTACAACCTCAAACGTCCAGCCAGGCGCACCGCTTCCACCACTGTAGCGACTCCAAACGTCTTGGTGCGCACAAACAAAGCACTTGATACCGTACTCCGGCATGAGCTCGATCAATTGGCGCAGGTAGTCGATATACTCTGTATCCAGGTCCTCAGGGTCTGGACCAGCATGGCCAATTGACTCCCAGGTAACAAGCAATCTCACAAAAGGCACACCCCAAGCCTGTAGACGCCGAAAGTGCAGCGGCGCATCTTCCAATGGAAAAGGTCTCCCCACAAAAGTGACGATGCGATGGTTCTCATAGAAGCCATGATCCAGGTGAGACAGGCCGTTCGGCTCAGTGGGTAGTTTAGAAGCACCCGAGATATTGAGACCGCGGAGGGAGAGGACGCGGTTGTAGTTATCGATGAAGTACTCGTCCTTGATACGAATTGGACCGCCTAACGCAGCGTCCGAGAGGTCAGCTGCTGCGTGGATGGACATCTTGGGTGCGAGCGTGTGAAGCGGAGGACAAGGTTGGGACACGCAAGCTGAAGTGGCAGCTGGAGCTGGAGCTGGAGCTGGAGGTACAGTACACTACAGCTGAGCTCTAAAGTACTCCACTGAGATTGCTTGGCCTCCCTATTCTTAGCGGTGTGGCACCAGTATCACCGTAATTGACATGGATCATTACAGGTGCGCCAGAACAATGATCAATAGACACTGTAAATTGAGGAAATCAAGGTGGATTTGTGTGCTGTGTGATCTCTCCACGTTTTGATATTAAGATCACTATATACTTAGTTTTTGGCGTGGTGGGACATGTTGATTAAAAACATCATTGTGACCATGACCTCACTGAACGTGCTGGTAGATGGGCCTCATCAAAACATTGAAAGGGGAGTCGGACAACTTCTTCGGGCATCTCGGCGGAAGCTCATACAAGCTTTACATAAATGCAAACTCAATTGATAATGTAAATATGAAGGTCATATCTTCGTAAATTAAAAAGTTGTTTTGCGACACTAAATATCCAATGCTATGCGCTCATGTCCAAATGTGCTTTGCTTCAATGCCATACGCTAACAATGCACCAGCCTATATCAGAACCCATCCAAAAATGAAACACCTAATTTTCCTGTCTGTCCCTCCTGTTCACCATCGCATAACTCATTCTGCGCGCCGCCCTGTCTCCCCAATTCATCACCGAAAGACCCGGTGAGCGCCCTGTGGCCATAGCCTTTTCCTGACTCACGTCACCCTCAACGCCAAAAGAGTAAGTCCTCTCGCCAGTCCGATCAGACACAATTCCGAACCCAATCTTGCTACTCTTGACGTCAGCTTCCCTCTCCCACCGAAGTTTGTCAAGACTGGAAGCTCTTGTGGCTGCAAGAATGGCAGAGAAGCTCAGGCTTCGCATCATGGCATCCTCTTCCATGGCGTTCACGCCAGACGCCACCGCAAGAATGGTGATTCCCATGGATAACGCGTACACTGCCCATAATTGCGCATAATTATAGAAGAAGCAGTTTCTGTTCTGCCATCTGACGCAGGGGTAATCCAAGTCTGGACCACTATCGAATCGCCCTGAGTATTTCGACGGGTCAGCTGCCCAAGATACCGCTGACATTTGCGGATCGGACAGGAATGATACCAGGATTTCCTCATAGAACTTTTGCACCTCGAGAGGGAAGTTTGCAACTGGTAGGTAATTGAGACGATCAAGCAATCTCGTCTGGAGAATCTCGCTGTTGACATTGAAGTTGGGCATTGTAGTGGTACCATTCAAAATGGCCCGCAATTGACTTCCCACGGCATGGTAAGCGGCTGTCAAGCGATAATTCTTGGTGTCATTGGGGAACACATAGTTATCCTCGGGCGTCGCCACTGTCCGGTCCTTCAGCCTCTTGTCGGGGTCCTTCTTATCCGGTATGAAGGTCGTATCTATGACCTTTTTGAGGAACTTGCGCTCCTTGACATCGTGATACTGAACCCCGCCACTGTGGTTGAACTGAACCTTGTACTTGGTCTGGTAGTGCTCACAGCCGAAAATGGTGGGGGTGTAGGCTTTGAACCAGTCGCCTTCCTGAGGCTTGTCGGGTTGCGGCTTGGTTCTGTCCTCAACATCAGCGTAACCGAACCAAAGGATGGGCTCTGTCCGGAAGGCAGCAAAGTTCCTCGGGTAGGGCGGTTTCGCCTTGGGTCTTCCACCAGCTTCTGCGACCATCTGGGGGTTCTCGTAATCTCCTCGGTCCAGCATTGCATAGTATGTGAGGTTTCCCATGGGAGCGAGGACTGATGTGTCAAAGGGGCACTCTGCGTCACCTAGCTTCTTCACTTTGGCTTTCACTCCCGAGGCTAAATTCGTACATTTGTATCCTGGACCAACGAACTCAATGGTATAAGAGCAATTCCAACCCTTGCCGCAAATGTCCGCAGGCGCTTTCGGGCGCATAATGGCCTGCTGCGTGTATGCTGTTTTTAAAGCGATGGTGTCAAATTGACGACTCGATGCCGTGAAGTAGTCAAACTCCTCAGGCTTGTTCTTATCTGGTGTTTCACCCGCCGGGGCAGTGGAATTCCATAAGGAGACGGATGACTCAAAATAGCCATCAACTCTGACAGGGTTTCTCCAGTACACAGTTTCCTCGTGTGTGAAGTTGAGAGTACGAACATTTTGACAGCGTGTTATTTCTTCCTTCCGTTGCGGTACGACAGTAAGAGTGTAAGATGTAAAAATGACAATTAGAGGCGACGTCCAGATGAATATTGTGAGTGCCATTGCGAACTTGGCATTTACCCAAGCTTCCCAATTGAGAAGGGCTGTCAGATCCTCGGAGGCCGCGAAAAGGGAGTCAAGAGTGGAGAGCGTAAGCATCTTGCGACGGATCATCATCAAGACGCGCTGTCGGAAAGCGAGCACCACGGCATTGAGAAAGCAGGCCTTGGAAAGGAATGCTAACAGAGCGCCGTATCGAAACTTGCCCTGCTGGTCGGTGGCAAGTTGTCCATGCAGTCCCCGGTAGTAGAAATGGTGGCCCACGGCGAATGCGATCCCGGAGAAGACGAGGACGTACATACTCCATGATGGTTTCCATTCATGTATCCACCAGTTTATTAATCTGTTTCGAGGAGGGCCACTCGGAGGGACACCAGGAGGACCAGGCATACCAGGAGGACCTTGAGGCACATCGGGAGGACTGTTCTTCGGCAGCTCGCTAGCCATCAAGAGCGAAGCGTTGCTGTCCTCCCTGTAATTTTGAGGTCGACCAGTACCAGGCGTGTGAGGATATGCTGGCTCCCATATTCCCAGTGGCATGGAGGCGCCATAATAGGCCGTATCGGTCGTGGTCTGCCGTTGTAGATATGGTTGATAAGTTGCGCGCTGGGCAAAGGACGAGGTCGAGTAGTCGGGAGAGGTGTACGGCGAGGTATTCTTCACGGACCCGATAGGCTTCCTAGCGATAGAAGGACTCGTGGGCTCCCAGTTCGATCGCGCGTGTTGTGAAGAGGGATCGTGATCAGGGTAATCCCTCAGCTCCATGGTGACGGGAGTAGGAGCTAGAACTCAACTGCAGCTGGAGCTGTAGGTAAATTGAGTTATGCTTTGGAGAGGCCCTAGCGGCCCGGTCAGTTCCCCGCAGTGCCCTGAGCTTAAAAGTGGGAGGGAGGTCGGCCTTTGCTTGGCAACGAGTTGAGAGTTTTATTCGCAGGTGATCGATTAGTATAGTATCTGGGAGGAGGATGAGAAGAAGAAAAAAAGACCCTGAAGGGTTAAAAGAAGAGACCACGGCATTTCCCACCCATTCCCAGCCTTGTTGGATTCAGCACTAAACCCATCTCTGCAATGTCACCGTTCAGGGCTGAGCTCTTTTGTTCCGTCGGGGGGTGACATGGCTGGGTTCCTGGTAGGGCTGGTATTTCGTTGATTGGCTTCCTGGGAGAGCAGCTGAGGGAGAGCAAAAAGCCACAGAGTCCAATGGTCTCACGCCAACGTGGTCTGGACTTTGGAAGAAGCTTGCGCTTGCTGACTGCTACTAAGCCCCCCTGCCTCCGCCACTGCCACTGTGATTATAGAGAGAGCCTAGGGGAGGAAAGAAAACTCAGTACCTCAGTCTTGAATGACAAAAAGATTTAGGTGACTTTAGCCTAATCTTAGGATGATATTTACTAAGTTTATTTTGACACCCGATATGAAGGTCTGATGTTTTCTTGCCCCCAGGGGAGAGCCCCAGGCAAGAGGTGGTACATACCCAATTTACATTGGAGCCCACCTCAGATTACCACGCGTTGAACCCGCTCGTGGGTGTCTTGGCGAAGGCCGATGCCGATGCGATCCAACGCTGATCTGTTGCATATTGCCTGATGCTGTTTCTGCATGTGAGACGGGATAAAGGATTTTGCTATACGTTACGTATGTGCTCTGCTTACTGTTACTGTTACCGTTACCGTCACTTCTTGGGGTAGAGCACACGAAGCCATGATTCACAATCGTAAGAGGAATAAGCATAAGTTACCTAACTTAAAATGCTAGCCCCTAATTTGTTACCCGAAGCTCTTCCTCTACGGTCCGACGAACCGTCCAGCATCCTGTGAATCCATTCCTGATCTGGTTATACTGTCAACCCATCGTCAAATGCTGAACAATTATCCCGTATTCAAGATCCACATGATGTCGTCAACAACCAAGTTTAAAAGAAAGAAATAAATCTCATCATGTCGCTGAGAATCCTCCTCCTGTTTTCTCATTTCCTTTATAGGCGGCGTTTAAATTTAACCTAAACCTCCGTTCCTGTCAGCACATCTCCACTATGGCTGCCTCTTCTACAGCCACAATTGGCTCCTACGAGCTGACGTCTCGCGCAATCAACGAGCCCCCTGCCGCTGCGGTCCGTGAAGGATCCGGTATTTTTAACGAGACCCAGAGGCTAGGCTCTCGCTACGGTCAAGATTACTCAGACGGCGGTGTTGAGAGCGTGGCGGCACAGAATACTTCCGCCGAGGTTGCTGAGAGCTGGAAATATCCCCGCCAGAATGTTGTCAGGACCGGAGCGGCGTTTTGGAGTCTTTTGACCTCCGGGGCTAACGATGCTGCATACGGCGTATGATTCTGCGAAATCACCTGTTTGATACCATTTCTGACATTAAAATGACAGGCCTTGATCCCATACGTACGTAAACCGGCTCCTCCGAGGGCTGAGTTGCTAACAGTTCGCAGCTAGAAGAATATTACAACTTGAGCTACATCATAGTATCTCTTGTTTTCCTCTCACCCTTTGTCGGTTATATCTTAGCAGCAGTACTGAACAATACACTGCATCGACGTATTGGACAGCGAGGAATTGGCATCACTTGCGGAATTTGCCATATTTTCGCCTACATCATAATCGCCGTTCATCCTCCATACCCCGTCTTGGTCCTTGTGTACTGTCTCGCTGGTTTCGGAAACGGAATCAGTGATGCAGCGTGGAATGCCTGGATTGGCAATCTCGATAGGGCCAATGAGACTCTTGGCTTCCTTCATGCCTTTTACGGCGCTGGAGGAGTCATCAGTCCTCTCATTGCAACTAACATGATCGCAAAGGCTGACTTGCCTTGGTATACATTTTACTATGTGATGGTGAGTCGCACGTGCTGTATGCTTATGGAAAGTACACTATTGACCGTTATACTCAGATCGGGCTGGCCACTATCGAATTTATTGCTTGCACCTGGGCATTCTGGTCCAATGGCCCCGAAGTCTACCGTCAAACCATGGATGCCAGTAACGAGGACAACCAGGGCATGAAGGAAGCCTTGTTCAAGCTTCCTTTCGCTCGTATGACTTGGCTTTGTGCCGCATTCCTCCTCTGCTACGTTGGTGTTGAAGTTTCTGTCGTTGGCTGGATCGTCCAGTTTATGATTCGCGTGCGAAAGGCTGAGAACTATCCAGCAGGTATGACCTCCATGGGCTTCTGGTTAGGTCTCGCCGTTGGCCGTGCTATTCTGGGATTCGTGACTCCCCTACTTGATGTCAAAGTTGCAGTATCTGTTAAGATGTAAGAAGCAACTTAATTCATCTATCTATCTAGATCAGAAGGCTAGGGCTTATATAGCCTAGCTAGACTTCTAGAAGGTTCCTTAGGTTTGCTCTATAGGTAAACTGCATCTAAGGAAACATACAAACATAACTAACAAACATAGCAAATAGCAAATAGAGGAGGCAACAGGTCTATCCAACAGTATCTCTGTATCTGCCTGCCGCTATGGCATTGCAGCTAATCTTCTGGTTGGTTCCGAGCTTTTATGTCTCGGCCGTAACAGTAGCGCTCCAAGGATTCTTTCTTGGTCCATTGTTCCCTGCAGTCGTCGTTGCTACCACAAAGATGTTGCCTAAGCACTTGCATGTTAGTACAATTGGTTTCGCAGCTGCTTTCGGTGGCAGTGGTGCCGCGATTCTACCTTTTGCTGTGGGTGCTATTGCTCAGGCCAAGGGCGTCAAGACTCTTTAGCCAATTATTCTGGCTTTCTTGACTGCGTTGCTGGGTCTTTGGCTATGTCTCCCAAGAATCGGCAAGAAAAGGGATTAAGGCACTAAGGGTCAGAAACAATCAACTTTTGCATTGCTTTCATGTCATAGTCAGGTCAAGCATAGTTCAGATCCCTAACAAATTAGATTAGCTCCACGATAGAACGAGGCCTTATATAAAGTCGATTGTTTCTCCAGAAGAGCCAAACGATATGAACTCTCAAAAGACCATGATCCTCAGCTTGCCTTGACATCCTTCGATACCAGGAGGGACTCGACCTTTCGAAGCCATTCCCTAGATGTGACCAGCATCATGCTACAATGGCTACAGCCGAATCCCGAGCCGCAACTCAATGCTTTCATAGATTCTCATCAATCACAGGCTAGTGCGGTATATCCTGCGAGCCGTGCCGTCTGCTAGCCTCTCATGGACGAATCGCGGATATTCACCACTTTCTACGGAAAATAGATAGCAAATAGACTGGCATCCGACCTATAACGTAACGCTCAAGAATAACTTGGTTTAAGTTGCTTATTTTACGGAACAGTGGTCTGCGAATTTCGTACATCTGCAGGAAGAGCTGTCCTGGAGTCGACATGTCTATAGGCACCCGGTTCTGGCCGCAATGATACCCCCAGGATCTTGTATGTGGCCTGATGGTCTAGCGGTATGATTCTTGCTTCGGGAGTGACATCTCAGTTCTGGTTACAAAGAGCTATAGTTTGCGAGAGGTCCCGGGTTCAATCCCCGGTCAGGCCCTGTTTTTGCCAGTGGCTACTGGGTCTTCTTTTTGATGACTGAGAGAACATTCAGGAAACGGTATAAGATGGTTTCGTAACGCCCTGCTGGTGTACATGTTGAGAGACGATGTACAATGGATCTCGCCACTGGAAATGAAAACGTTGCCTCGATATGCTATTACTATTTTGATATACCCGATAATCCGTCTTTTTTGAATTCTAAGAAATCTTGAAGAGTATGAAGCACCGCCAAATTAGAGTCCAAAATCAGAAGTGTCAATATCCACTGTCTTATCCTCCTTTAATGCCTCTTTCACAGCCTGGCAGACAACAAGTGCAGCTAGGCCATCTCTTGGTGTGCAACTCGGAGTCGCATCACCACGAATAACCTTGATGAAGTGATCTAACTGTAACTCGAAAGGCACGCCATCTGGGACCGGGACGTTCTTATGAACAAGCTCTTGGTGCCATGACTTTTGGCCTTCAGCATAGGAAGATAGAGTCATATCTGGCACACTCAACGATGCGTCGGTGCCAAAGATACGATAAAAGTCCTTTCCAGCCTTAGGAATCAGAGGGTTCTCTCCAGTACCTGACTCAAAGTTATGCGGTGACGGAACATTGTCTGAGAACAGGAAGCTCCCGACAGCACCAGACTTGAACCGAAGTGTGAGAACTGCACCCTCTTCAGCCTCGAACCCACGTTGTGATATCGTCTTTTCTGCATGAACCCGTGTAATGGGACCAAAGAGATAGTGCAGCAGATCAATCTCATGGACAAGATTGATGAGAACAACACCGCCCGTATTCTCTCTTCGCCATTCCCGTGGAGGGTCAAAGTATTCCATTGGTTTATAAGTCGCCCAAATTCCATTCACTGCAATGACCTTTCCAAGAGAACCAGAACCAACAGTTTCTTTTGCAGTCATCATATAGGGATTGAATCGTCGATGATGTGCGACCAAAGCTTTGACGTCTAATTTATCAAGGTGATCAACCAGATCCTTTCCACTCTGAATATCTGTACAGAAAGGTTTTTCAATAAGAACATGAATACCAGCTGAGGATAACTCGCAGGCTAGAGGGACGTGCGTGTGATTGGGCGTGCAGATAATGGCTGCTTGAGGTTTATTGGACGATTGTAACATATCGGCCACAGATTTGAAGTAGGCAGCTCCAAGCTCTTGAGCTAGTTGTTCGCCATTTGGCATGAGGTCGACAATAGCTACCAGCTTTGCTTGTCTGTTCTTGATCACAGTCTGGGCGTGACGGGGCCCAATTAGGCCAACGCCGATGATGGCAAATGTGATGGGCTCAGAAGACATTTTGAATTGAAGTGAGCTGTACTCTCTGATGATCACAAATACCGTAGTCTTCTACGCAATTTATACCTCGATATCGGCTCTTGTGACTCATTATTATCGCCAAAATGTTTACCCCAGACCCTTTGATGTGACAAAGGCGGGGTATGGGGAATGCTAATTGAGGCCATTGGAGCGACGGATTTAATTAGTATCGCGTTAAACATTTTACCGTCCCAAAAATGATCTGACAAATTATCGCGTATACAGTAAGGCTAAGCCACTGCGGGGGAAAATGAGCTTTCATACGCTCAAGACTAACGGTCTCAAACAGAATGGTAGATTCGAGTGGGCATGCAACTCAGGTTTCGAATTGGATGTGTACTATGGAGAGATTAAAAGTCCAACCAATAAGCTAGAAGAAGACAATCACTGGACGGAATATTGTTCGACCGTTCACTCCGAATCGTAATTGGACTAGTTCTGGACACGTGATTGAAGGGAGGACCTGTCTCAAAACATCAACATCACATTGAGTAACCGACAATACAACCGAATTGAAGAGTCTCATACAAGTGTTACAATTTGAAGAAAAAAAATGCCTCATGATGAAACCTCCTCCCCTGATGTCATCGGAAGTGATAGTGGACAAGAAGGGCTGGATTCTTACCCTTTCCTACTGAAGAACAAACCAGCAGACGAGGTTGAAATTGAGTCAAAGAGAAGAGGAAAACTATCAGAAATATGAACTTCTTCGAAGAATTCTGGAGCGACATGAAGAAACCATACAGAAGCGATGGCTTAAGAAAAATAGAAAGCAACGGCTTGAGGTCCTTCTCACTGCATGGCCAGACATGCCACCGACCCATCGGCCTTTCTATGACACTTGGCGACAGGTAGACACGGACCCTGATTCTAAAGCCAAGCATCATAGTTCCATCTTGTGGCCCTATATCAACAAGGAGTCTCTTGGCAAGCCCACGCCGTTCCTCTTGCTTCTCAATTCTAGAGGTCGTCACCCGCCTCCCTTGTTCCTCGATAATGATGCACAATACGCCCACAATACGCCCACAAGGCAAGATTGACCGGTATGATGGTGGAAAGGCCGTACCCTACAGAACACATGAGTATACTCCTCCGGGGCGTTCCCGAAGACGATTATGGGATTGTGAGGAAATACCCAGAAGCTAAACCAGGAGTTTGGCTTCATTTGTCAAATAAAGACTATGACTGGCCTACGTCTACCATCTATGGCAAGGAGTGGCCGCTGTTGCAGTACTCTGCCGCCGCGGGCATGGTGATTCTAGAGATACAAGAGCGCTTGATGGACTTCCTTGTCAAGTGTTGCTATCGAATCCTACACGAAATCGAGCCACACAACTTATTTGGTGATGTGTATCCTGTTCAGGCCGAGCCCGAGCTTCCTTCGAATACGCAGACTGAAGGATTGCAGACCTCCCTTCTCGAGATTACCTTTGAAGCACCTTACCGTGTGCCGACGCGGCTCAAGTTTGCCAATCTTGAAAAGCTATTTGCGGCTAAGGCCGCCGCTGCAGAGGATCACATATGGGCAATGCGCGAGGATCCCAATTACTTTGCCGAACAAATCAGTGACATGTACGATCATGTGATACTGGTTGGCGAGACGAGAGAACATAAAAACAAATGGGGAGCAGCCATTGGTCAGGTTTTGGCTGATGCATACACAATGCTTGAGTTTTTCACTGAAGCTCATCGAATTACCAAACGCTTGTGTGAACTACAAGAGAGGTATGCGAGTGTCGTGTCCCCTATCAAGAAACTGCCCGATGAATACAATAACCAGATTCGACATTTCCTTTCTTTTGTCCTTACTCTAAGAGATAATATATTTCTGAGTAAGCTTTTGTTCTTGGTCAAGCGTTCCCCCCCTTTCCGAACCGCTTTTAACCTTTGGCGCTCTCGTGCCGAGAACAGGGATAGGCCTCTGACATATAACGAGCAATTCTTGCTCAAGTGGGTGGTTTCGCATCTATTTTATGCGAAAGGAATGTTTCATGACACACATGACGTGGTTGCTGATATCTTTGCAATGAATATGGTCATGAATGATCTGGAACTGCTGGCGGAAAGGGATAAGACAATTCGCGACTTGCTGTCACCAACTGCCCTTGCAATGATGGGTGACTTAGCTATAATCATCCAAACTTTACATGCGCTGGAGCGGTTCAGGCCATGGAGTCAAGGTTTCGCTGGTAAGCTCGGCGAGGAAGCTACGGATTGTTCGGTGAACATTATCAAAGCCAGGCTTGACATTTTGAGGCAAATTCACGAAGCTTTCGAAAGTAGTCCGGCACCCGATCTTCTCCCTTTTTTCGAAAATAATCTGGGGAAGTTTACATATCCGGAACACCGACGCAGGAATAAGGAGAACGTTGAGATGATGCGGCGAGCAGAGTCGAATCTAGATGCTTTCTGGGCCAGAGCAGACCAATATCTCTACGAGCGGACAAAGAGTATGAACGACAGCATCCTTATGGAACTCCTCAAAAGTCCCCGTGTTTTGCAGCGGACACCTGAATGGGTCGAGCCCACGAAAGAGAAGAAGAAAGTCCTCAACATTGAGCAACCTCTGTCGACGTTTTTCTTCGGTTTGTCCAATGACGAACGAGACACAAAGGCGTCAGGTCGTCTTTCCGTGAAACCAACCAAAGCGAAACTCAAGACAAGAGGAACCACGACCGAAGCAACTGAGGCCGATGAAGCTCCAACTGAAGCGATGGCCGAGGTCGTACTTGAGGATCTAAAGCCGGTATTCAAGGTCGACCGACGAGCACTCAGGACATTCCGCATTCTCTTTTACGATCCAGATGTCACTTCTACGCCAGGCGAAGTTCCATGGAACGACTTTTTGCATGCATTGACTTCAGTTGGGCTTGCTGCCGAGAAGCTGTACGGGTCTGTTTGGCAATTCTCGCCATATACTCTCGAAGCTGACGGAAGTATTCATTTTCATGAGCCTCACCCACATAATAAAGTACCCTTTTTCATTGCTAGACGCCATGGACGAAGACTTTACCGAACTTATGGGTGGACTGGGGAACAATTTGTACTCGATAAATAAGACCGCGGGGGCTGAATTACAAGATAGGATATGAGATAAGTGATCTCTTGAGCTTGAAGATGGATGAGATGCGATGATGTGTCTACTAAAGGAATGCAGTGACACAGCGGACTTCTCAAACACTTTTAAAGAACTATTAAATTCCACACTTATGAGTGACCCAAAGGAATGGCTTGGGGGGAGAAGAGCGAAGAGCCCAGGTCTCGCATTTTCGCGCACCTTTCAAATCTATAACAGCGAAGCCGGGCGACGGCCTACTTGAGTAAACCTTCCAACCTCGGATACTACTTCAAGTTCACTCCGCATATCGGAAGCGACGGTAATTAATTACTTTGGACTTGATTGGACCGAGTTTTCAGGGTCTCATGTTGAAGCGACAGGGCCACGATGGTGTGAGAGCGTGGGGCACAAGCGTGATTGAGACTAACAAAGACGCAATATGGTGAAAGAGGAACGGGAATTACGACAGCGAATAGCCTTGCAGAATGATTAGATTACGGTATGATGTAACAGAAGAGCAAGCTAACGTGCTCATGGGGAAGATGCGATAAGGATAGAAGAGTAGCTCAAGGTATTGAGTATCCCAGTCCTGTCGCCTGGAGAGCTTCATCGGTAATTGAACCTTCACCATCATTCCCGACCACAATACTCCCGTCAATTGATGATGGCTACCGCAGCAGTAATTAACGGCGCAATCAATGACTTCAATAGAAGAGAGTCAGAGTTATCGCACGTTGCTGTAGAGAGTGCGCCGGCAGAGAAGTCGACCCCAATTACCCAGACCAAGGACAGAGCACCAACAACCATACGAGATGGACCAGACGTGGACGAGACATCGCCTTATCACAACCCTCGCCTGAAACTGGTTGACAGATTCGTTGACGAGCCACGCCCGCTAAGAGTTGGGGTCATTGGTGCTGGCCTGGCCGGTATCACAGCAGGCATTCTACTACCAGCCAAGGTCCCTGGCATCAAGCTTACCATTTACGAGAAGAACGCCGATGTGGTACGTGAAATCAGCAGGTTTCTTGATGATTGATATAACTAAAGTATTCGTAGGCCGGAACATGGTTTGAGAACGTTTACCCCGGTGTAAGATGCGATATTGCATCGCACGTCTACCAAAGTACATTCGCGCCCAAGACAGACTGGTCGGACAAGTATGCACCCGGCCACGAGATCCGCGAATATTGGCAATCGGTCGCGCGAAAGTTTGACGTCTACAAATATGTCAAGCTCAATACCAGAGTCGAGGGGACAACCTGGGATGATGAAGAGGGCGTATGGATCACAAAGCTACGGAACGTGAAGACGGGCGAAGAGACGGTCGAGAAGAACGAGTTCATCTTGACCAGTATCGGACGATTCAATGATTGGAAATTGCCCGATTATCCTGGAATATCGGAGTATAAAGGACATCTTCGGCATGCCTCCAATTGGAGCACGGATTTTGATCCCAAGGACAAGACGGTCGCTGTTATTGGCAACGGAGCGAGCGGTATCCAGGTTACAGCAAACCTCCAACCAATTGTCAAGCGACTTGATCATTATGCTCGTAACAAGACATGGATTGCTGCATCCTGGGCTGGTGAAGAGCGAAAGATTGAGGCCCAGCCATATACAGAAGAAGAGAAGAAGAAATGGGCAGAGGACCCCGACGAATACTTGGCCTTCCGAAAGGATCTCGAGAGTTTATACTGGACCAGATTTGACTCGTTCTTCCGTAACAGCGAGTCTAACCAGAAGCTCCGTGAAGCTTTCATTGACATCATGGAAAAGCGCCTTGTGAAGAAGCCAGAACTTCTCGAGCATATCGTCCCAGACTTTTCGCCGAATTGCCGACGTCTGACACCGGGGCCAGGCTACCTTGAGGCGATTACTGAAGACAACGTGGAATATATCCGTACACGAATTAAACGCTTCACGGAGACGGGTATCGAGACTGAAGATGGCAAGCGGAGAGATGTCGATGCTGTGATTTGCGCGACCGGCGCCAACGTCGACATGGTTCCAGCATTTCCCATTCGCGCTCATGGACAAGAGCTCAGTAACCTATGGAAAGCTGATGGAACATACGGATATCCTTACACATACTTTGGACTTGGAACACCTGGCTTCCCCAACCTTCTCTTCGTCCATGGACCGCAAGCAACGGGGCCATCGGGAACAGTCCCTCACAGCGTCGAGACGCAATTGACTTACTTCGCCAAGGTCCTCCGCAAGGTTTCGCGACAGGGCATCAAGTCTCTGAGCCCGTCTAAACAAGCAGCGGACGACTTTGTGGAGTACTCAGACGCTTTCTTCGCTAAGACAGTTCTTACAGACAAATGTAGTTCGTGGTACAATGGAGGGAGACCTGGTGCTAGAATTCACGGGCTCTGGCCAGGAAGCGCAGGCCATATTACATTTGTGCGACAGGAGCCTAGATGGGAAGATTGGGAGTACAAGTACATAGGCGATTCTAAGAACCGCTTCGCGCATTACTTGGGCAATGGATGGACCAAGAGAGAGACGGACATAGAGGCTGACCAAACACCGTATCTTCAGAGGCCGGATAAGATCGATTTGCGGGATATTCACGAGAAGTGGTGGAGCATTCCATAGACAGTTAGTCTAGTAGATTTGACAATAAAGTGAAGATGAGCTTTGGGGCAAGATCTCGTCATGACATGGTCCCACGCACGTAATCGCGCGACTCGCCCGCACCTCCACGTGGAGAGCCCGTCTAATCTATCACGACTGCACTAAGGCATCGGAGCCGCTAAACATCCTTGCATTAGCTTCGTTAATGGGACCATCTTTCTCGGGGAGTTGACCTCAGATCCTGCCTCCACGTACGCAGACTGATACTTGGAGCGTAACCGAGGACAGGTCAAAGAGAGACTGTGCTAGCGAGGAGAACATTTCGAGTCTCGAACCGGATACACACCGAGACTCTGGTGAACGCAATGCCGCCACAGATGTACGTTTTGCGCTAGAAGAGTTGACGCCCAAAGGGCTGGGACTTCGGCAGTTGAGCTGTAGGTGCGGTCAAGGGTTGGATTGCGTGCTGGTGCTATCGTGTTGGGCGGTGGTTTCATGATGGGAAGGGAAATATAAATGTTGATCTTGTACCTACTTCTACAGAACATTTCACAGCCGTGTCTCGCTAAAGATTCTGACAGCTTCTCTTCTGTCTCAACTTTCTTCAGTTCAAACAGGATCATTTAGACAAGATGACGGTGGTGGAAAACCGACATGCGGACAGTGAGGTTGCTGCTCCTCCCAAGGACCAGCTTCTTCCTGGTAAGAATCACTCCCAGTATGCACGTATTTCACTAACACTGCTCAGTCAAGTGGTATCGCTCCACATTCTTCAACATCACGGTTCTTGGCTTGTGTAACTTGTCTGCCCCGGGTATCTGGGTAGCCATGAACTCGCTTGGTGCCGGTGGTGCAGCCTCGCCAAAGCTCATCAACGCTGCCAATGCCTTGACATTCTGTCTCATGGTGGTGTCTTGTTACTTTTCAAGTACCATGGTTCGATATATTGGCATCAAGGGTGCTCTAATTTTTGGAACGTAAGTGTACTCACGCGGACGTACTCTTGAACACTGCTAATGCGAGTTAGTCTTGGATATGCGCCTTATGCAGCAGGCCTTTACACAAATAACCGCTTCGGAACAGAATGGCTCGTCCTCGTTGGCGCTGCTCTCTGTGGTATCTCAGCTGGTGTCTTTTGGATGGCCGAAGCTGCTATCGCCATCGCATATCCTGAGCCTTGGAACCGTGGTAAAGCTCTAGGTTACTGGCTCACCTACCGTCTCTCGGGTCAGATCCTCGGTGGTGCCATCAACCTCGGCCTCAATGCCGATCGCAACGAGGCTGGAAAGGTCTCTTACACTGTTTACCTCATCTTCATTGCTCTCCAAGCTGTTGGTCCCTTCGTTGCTCTGCTGCTCAGCAAGCCGCATCAGGTTCAGAGGAAAGATGGTGTCACGGTCAAGTTGGAGATCGATAAGCTTCCTAGCTTCGAGCTGAAGGAGACTGCCAGACTATTCTTTACCAAGAAGTTCCTTCTGGTCGTTCTATTCATTGGACAGGCTGTCTTTGCGGAATCCGTCTTCTTCACTTATCTTGCCTGTAAGACTCCCTGGTCTAGCTTCACGAATGATACTAACTGATGCAGTGTGGTTTTCTGTTCGATCCCGTGCTCTTGGATCTTTCTTGGGAGGTATCGTTGCCGTTACCGCTGGTAATATTCTAGGTGTAAGTCTTGCAACCGCCCATTATGCATCTATCGCTGACAACATCTTGATAGGCTTGGCTCGACCGTACAAAGGTTTCTCTCCGTTTCCGCACCCGATCTTCTTTCGCCTTCCTTGCTACTCTCCAAGGTGCCTGTTGGATCTGGGCCACAGTCTTGGTTACTCGATTCCGTGAGACAAGGCCAACTTACGATTGGGTTGATTCGGGATTCGGCCATTCCTTCGCCATCTTCTTGTTCCTTACATTGTCATTCCAGCTTAACTACCTCTTCCTGTGAGTAACCATGAACGCATGTTACACGTCCATGATCTAATGATTCTCTAGCTACTTCGTTATCCATCATCTTGCCAACACTCAAGACGAAATCATTCGTTTCTCTGCCCTTCTCCGAGGCACGGAGTCCGCCTGGCAAGCTCTCAGCTACGGCATTACCTCCTTGCCTCTGTTCGCCGAGGTTGGTGGAGTTTACTTCAACTTCGCACTTTGGGGTCTTTCTATCTTCCCCGCGTGGTTGGTTCTCAAGGACTTCGGTTCTCATGCTGCTCCTTCTCTTGAGAGCCCCATCCAGGAAGTTGATAGTCAGAACTATGGGTCCAACTCCGGCGAGGATAGTGATGTCAAGAAGCATTAGACAATGATAGACTTATTTATGGACTCTGAGGTGGTATCAAAATGGTTTGAGAGAAGATGGCTCGAGAAGTTAGTGAATTTAGAGATTCTTTAGATATCAAATCTAGAATATTTACACGAGAATTATTGAAACTGTGCACCTTTAGTATACCTGTTGATAAACGACAAAAAAGCAGACGGTGTCAACCCTTGAACCAGTCTTTCCCTCCCTGTACATACACCGAGAGCCCGATGATTACTCCTTCTAGAAGAACTGATGTCTCAGAATATTACAGATTATGCGCCTCTACGAGCTTCAATGCGTGTAGCCCACGTGGGCGTGATAAGCCATTCCCGACAACTCGGCACTCTGACATGAAACTTCCGCGCTACAAACACCCAAGAAACAACCCTGATAGAAATTCCCAATCTTTTGCCCATTTGTGGAAGTTCCCCGAGTTTATCGTATGGAAATTGAGGGGTTGATCGGCACTTCATATGAGCAAGACTCAGTGATGATTGCGCCATCGGTTAGCCCACCAAAACGGCTCTGCACGCCAAGGTCTCATATCTATAGCCTAAGGATACCCTGTCGAGAGCTATCACTTGCATATTCAGTCATGGGCTTAGGAATCACGCAATATTCGTCTAGAAGTCCTGTATCGGCACCGATATCCGGAGCGTCTTAAAAGAAGAATAAGCTGGGAACCAGTACATCACCACCTAAACAACGAAGTGAGGCATATCCAATCAGATCAGTTTCATTTTTTACAGTCAACGTCATGGCTTCCCAAGATCAAACGGCCCAGCATGGCAAGAAGAAGAGCCTTATCGTCAATGCCTTTGTCATGATGTGCAGGTACCCCGTCATCCCAGACATACAAGATATACTGATAAGACTTTAGGCAGCGGTCATCAATCACCAGGACTATGGAGGCACCCTGAAGATGAGTCTTGGAGGTTCAAAGACACTGAGCACTGGGTTGAATTGGCCAAGTTGCTAGAAGACGCCAAGTTTCATGGCATCTTTATTGCTGATGTGTTGGGTAAGTCACTTGGATCATGAGCAGGTAGCTTTCAGAGATCTAACCGCTGAAACAGGAGGCTACGATGTTTACAAGAAGTCCTTGGAGCCTGCTATCATCTCCGGAGCTCAGTGGCCTCTTACAGAGCCATTAGCTGTTATTCCTGCCATGGCTGCTGCGACTAAGAATATTGGATTTGGTGCCACTGTTTCCGTTACATATGAGCAGCCATATCATCTTGCTCGGCGGTTATCCACAGTCGATCATCTGACAAAGGGCCGGTAAGTTTGTATTTGCATAACATAGAAAATAACTAACACTTGTAATAGTTTGGGTTGGAACGTAAGAATGTCGAGCTTCATTCTCAGGCCACCACTAATGAGAAGTGCAGATTGTCACTGGTTACCTAGACTCGGCCGCTCGCAACCTTGGTCATCCGGTTCAACTGGCAGTAAGTTTTGTCTCCTGAAACTATCAATCCAATTCTGATCATAATAAGCACGACGAACGCTATGCTCAAGCCGAAGAATACATGGAAGTCATGTACAAGCTCTTCAACTCATCCTGGCGTGACGACGCTGTCAAGCTAGATCGCGAGCGAGGTATCTACACGGATCCCGCCCTTGTTCGTCAGATCAACCATAACGGCAAATACTTCAACGTTCCTGGCCCTCACGTCGTAGACCCTAGCCCGCAGCGAACACCACTTCTTCTTCAAGCAGGAGCCAGCAAACCAGGTAAAGCGTTTGCAGCTCAGCATGCTGAGGCTATCTTTACTTCCGCGCATGCACCTGCAGTGTGCAAGAAGAACATAGCAGAGATCCGAAAGGTTGCGAAGGAACAGTTTGGCCGAGACCCGAACAACATCAAGGTCCTCGCTCTTGTCACCCCTATTCTTGGTAGGACTGAAGAGGAAGCTCGGGCTAAGTACGATGAAGCGAAGAAGTATGCTTCGACTGAAGGTGCTCTGTCACTGTTTGGTGGATGGACGGGTATGGATTTGAACCAGTACGGCGATGATGAGGAACTTCGACAGGTTGAAAGTAACGCTGTTCGGTAAGTTTCATCCTCATAATCCCAATGTGCCTCAACTCATATGGTTATTCAGATCAACTGTAGAAGGCTACGCCAAGTTCTCGCCGGCAAACTCAAAGTGGACGAAACACACTGTCGCCGAGCATGTCAGCCTTGGAGGCAACGGACCTCTGTTCGTTGGCACACCCTCTCAGGTGGCCGATAGCCTGCAAGTCTGGATTGATGAGGCAGACGTCGATGGTTTCAATTTTGTAAGTTCATATATAGCCAATCACGGGATGTTACTAACTCTGAAAAGGGATATGTTTTGTTCCCTGGTACCTTTAAAGATATCATCGAACTACTACTCCCTGAGCTTCGATCAAGAGGTCTCTTCTGGGACGATTACGCGGTGCCTGGTGGTAGTTACCGAGAGAACTTCTATGGCCTTCCTGGACAGAAGTATCCTCTGGATGAGCATGCTGCTTCCAAGTATAGGTGGGCTGCTGGGGTACCTGCAAGTGAGCACAAGATTCCGCAGTAGATATGCCCGAAAATACAACTGCAAAGATAAATAAAATAAGAGTTATGTGACACAGAGACTCATGCAGACAGCCCAATCACCTAAGACGCCCTTGCAACTCCATGCACTATAGAGCATTGAATTCACAGACAGTGCAAGTTCTGGCACTATGATGCTTTCACTTTAATGTATTCTCATGAATAGAGACCAACGTGCCGTTGGATTCAAGGTTCATATATGTTACATCGGAGGTAGACGCGTAAAGTCTAGTCCAAGAGTTTATGGCCTTGGTAACTTCTATCTACAGCTCATAGCGGAACTCTTTGTTCTCCATATCCGTCAAATCCAGAAACTCGTGGTTCTCTTCCACCCTGTACTGATCACCTAACGCAGCCTTCTCTGCATCCCTCTTCTTATTCCTTCGATCAAAGACCCATCTCATAACTAGCAGGTCAATGGTGCAAAGGAAGTAAATGATACAGATTGAGATTTTGGCGGGGAGATATCGTGGTCCATCACGAGCTTGAAAAGTGTGAGGTGAGATGATGTTTCCAACAGTATACGCGATAGTTCCGATACATGAGACGGTGATTTTCTTGGTAGAACCAGCGACGTTTGAGCTTTGCAGTCCGAGAATAGTGGTCCAGCCAATGGGAATGCCTCCAGTTGTGTAATATCCAATGAGGGCGGGAACCTTTTCTGTGGTTGCCATCAGGATGGCTCCGATGATGGCAGGAATATGACCAGCAATACAGAATAACAATCGTTGTCTTGTCTTCATAGCTCCGTAAGTCAGGCCAATCAGGAAGACGATCTCCCAAGCCCCGAGGGGAGTGACCAGCAATAGAGACTCCTCATTGGTATATCCCATACCCTTAACGAGAATATTTCCGAAACTGGTGGCAATAGAGTTAGGGATGTTGGCAGCAAAGACCCAGAATGCATATAACCAAGTCATGCTATCAGTCAAGGCCTCCTTGACATGAGCCCACTTGAACGTCTGGGTACCAATGCCCTGCACATTTCCTCGAATACGCTCAAGATGCATGGATTTCTTCTCCTTGTCCAGGAATCCAGCAACGGCGGGAGAATCGGGCATGATGAACCAGAAACTGATTCCAACCACAACAGTGAGGAGGCCAAGAACGAGCAAGATAACTTGCCATCCTTTCAAAGCAGCATCTGGATCTTTACCAACGTGCGTTGCAACGCCGTAAGCAAAATATCCACCAAACATCTGAGCCGCACCACAGACGGAAAACCAAATTCCAACTCGAAAAGCTTGCTCTTCTTTCGTGTACCATTGGGATGTGAAGAGAACCCAGGCTGGGACAATGGCGGCTTCGAGGGCACCAAGAAAGAATCGACAAGCCAGGAGGCCGCTGAAGTTATGGCATGCAGCCATGCAAGCAAGCGTGACGCCCCATAGTGTAACGTTGACTGAGACGTACTTGGCGAGAGGGAATACTTGAAGAAGACGGACGGTAGGGAACTGAAAGCCGAGCTGGCCGAAGAAGAAAATCGAAGCGACCCAGTTGAACTCATTGCCCTTGAGACCAGTTGATTGTTGGATACCAGTAACGCTTGCGTACGAGACTGCAGTCTTGTCGATGTACTGTAAGAAGTAGACGGTACAAATGAGAGGCATGATATGAGTATCGATGCGGCGGATGAGTCGTTTGTTGGCTTTGGCATCGAAAGGTTGACTAATTCCGCCCGTTTCGTTCAACAGGTCAAGGGCAGCATCTGCTCCATCTTTGTGAACATGATGTTCATGCTTTGAAATGTCGTTTACATCAGCTTGGGTATTTTTGACCGAGTTGTCAGAAGAGTCTGGCTCATCAGCCCCAATGGGAGCTGGCTCGATGGCCTTGTCATCTGCCATAATTCAGCAAGAGAGCAGGCGAGTTTGCATGAAATGTAGCCCCCATGGTAATTTGTGGTGGGGTGGCATATTTATATGTTTGATCTGATGAAAAGAAAATGTCGACATCGCATACTTTGCAAATGAAGCCAACAGGTCCCACGTTGTGTGGAGTGATTTATCAAGGATAATCGCTCCAGCTTCCTATCTTGGTTTATCATGCCCACTCAAATCGACATGTCAACCCATTATCTGAACTTCAGCCAAGCACGTCATTAGGAGCCGAATGGTGCGAGTAGATATTACACGACTTATTCAAATTCTCCATACAACAGATACGAGTTTCTCGATATAGACTACTCCATGGTGTTAGTGCAAATATCGGAATCATGTACAGGACACAGTGCACCGCAGAGGTCTACCAGACTACCACCAAAGTGAACAAGGACATTGAACTACGAGTAATGCGAAAGAATCATCTTGAACCAATGCTACGGAACAATACATTGGTTAAATGGGCTTACCATATCATATACTGTTTCTCAGCTGGTGAACGTTCAGTGCAATTACCCGTGGTCGTACATGAGTTAAATAAGAGATAATTACTTGTTCGTTGCAGTACAGTTCCAATATGGAGAGAGCTCTACCGCGGTTGGGGAATCACAGTCTTTCGCGAGGTGCGTCCAACGGCATGCCATCATGGCTGCCAAAAGAAGTAGTATCACATAGATAAGAACTTATAAGAACTGATTTTTAAACATCATGATAACCCAAGAATTATCATAAAGAATATTCTGTTGATTTCACGCCTCAGGATACGAAGTACGAAGTCTAACACGTCTGTAGCGTTTCAGCATCCTTTCTCCAACTTCACGATACCCGTGAAGAAAGGTCCCATACCTCGCTGAACATGTTCACAAATGCCGTTGCGGATGAAGAAACTCACCGAGCTCTCGTTCAGCAAAAAATTGCTTATCCTGCAATTACTGTCATTCTTCGATTTCGTCCTCGCAACAGGCAGCAACAGGTCATTGCTTTGTTGTCATTGGATCGTGAACGCCACTGAGTTTGGTATAGTGTTGTTTTTTTGACTTCGAGTCACCCAACAGTGACGATCGATGAAATCTCACCAATAGTCTTGATGCAAAAGCGCCTCAGCTTACCACTCTTATGGAACAGCTGAAGCTAAACTTGTACAAAGAAGGGCGTATTTCCGTTGAATCGATAACTCAAAGAACCGCCTTCCTGCAATTAACCATCAGATTCTGAGCTCATAGCTGTCATTTCGAGCACGCACATATCATGCCTCGATATATGATCCTCATCAAAGCTTCTCCGGAAGCTGAAAACTCAACTGCCACTGGACCCGAGATCTTTGAAGAAATGGCCACTTTTAACGAAGAACTTCATGCAGCTGGCGTTCTTCTCTCAGCCGATGGACTCAGTCCAACGAAGGATGGCTACCGTGTTACATACTCCATGGATGGTCCTGCACAGGTCACCAAGGGGCCTTTTGACGTTGTGAGAGAAGGGCACGTTTGTGGCTGGTGGATTCTGAAGACTGAAGACGGCGAAGAAGCTGTCAGCTGGGCCAAGAAAATTCCTTTCAAGGGGGGCGAGGTGACCGTCAGGAAGATTGCTGAGCTGGATGACTTCGGGGACAGTGTGACGGATGATGTGAGGCAGAGGGAGAGGAAACTCACCAAGGGCCTTGAGGAGAAAAATGAACGAAATTAGGAACTAAGTGCTAAGCTGTTCTTGATGCTATCTTGGGAGGACTTAGCGTCAATGCCTCACTTCCGAGTGTAGCATCATGTCGAAGGCTGCATACATGTCACTCGTTGCTTGTCATCACTCACAGTGAGCTCAATGAAGCAAGGATATTGTTAAATAAATTCTTGTTATCGAAATGGGTAATTAAGAAACATATAACCGGCTGAACCAATCAACTCCATGCTTTGCTATACAATATCTTGAAACCTTTTTACTATCAGGCTATACAAAACCCCCTCTACGTCCATCTCTTCCATGAATCAAGGCGCCTCGTGAAGACCACCACGTCCCTGATATCCGTTCTGCGATGGGTGAACCCAAGGCTGACCAGCCATCTCAGCCGGAGCCTGCTGCGTGGGAGGTTTGTAGTACTCATGCACAGGCTGGTTCTGCGCACCAACAGGCATCTCACTGGGCGGCGCGTAACCCCCAGCTGTAGCACCTTTGCCCTTTCGGAAATGTCGCCAGAAAAGAAAGCCAGCACCGGCGAGCAGGGCAATACCTCCAATGGTGGCGCCGACCGCCACGCCGGCTACAGCACCTGTGGAGAGACCTCCATCATCTTTGTCAGTGGAAGCGTCTGTTGTTGTCTCGGTCGCAGCGTCGGTCGTTGTCGTCTCAGAGAGAGCGCCCGTCGATGAAGGACTTGGGAGGGCTGTCGTTGAGGCAAGAGAGGCAGATGTTGTCTCGTCTTTGGGGACAGTGACATTGAACGCAGCTGAGGTGGCGACGATGTCGTTTGTGCCGGATTTGAAGAGGGAGTAGTGGAAAACAGCGTCTCTGTCGTCACCAACCTCTGTAGAGAAACCGCCAAAGTTGACTGTCCAGATAAAACTCGTCGATGTTGTGTTTTCTAGGCATCAGATATTAGCTGATAGGGACCTCGGAGAGTCAACGCATGTGTACCTTTGAGCTGGACGAAGAACTGAGTGCCGCCGCCCGCTTGAGGATAATCCTGCCAGAGCAATAGGTTGGTCTCTTCCAGGTCCGTATTCCATTCCACGTTCATGCTATCATCGACATCGTAAGTTGGGTTATTCTTCCATCCCGGCGAACCAGATCTTCCAGGGGTAATAAAACTGGTGTCAGCAGCAACTCTGGCGGCAAAGCTGCCCAGCAGTACGGTGAAGGGTAAGGCGGCGAGCATTATGTCGTTATAGAGGTTCTCTCAAAGAATATCAGAACTTTTCAGCCTCGCGATCCTTAACAAGAGGCTATCACGCGTTTCTGTTGGTCACCCAGTCATCAGCAGACCAAGATGATAAAGGCAGAGAAGAGAAAAAGCAGTAGAAGGGGAGACACCACGCTCAGTTGCTCAGTCCAGTCTCTATTTCATCTCTCAGCCCCGATGCGCGAAGATCCCTGTCTTAGCGTTGAAGGGGAAATTTTGGGGGCCGGGGTGTTGTCCAGTGAGACGGTGAGATTATAGGTAGGAGTTCCGCTTTCTTACACTCGAGACCACTAGCTCAGATCCTTCTGATACCAAAATTAATTTAATAGCGTGGATTAAGAGCGGGATTGTAAGAGAGTCCGACTGAGGCTGCACCGACGGGAAATTAAAGTTGAGTTAGTGGCGATAGCACGGATATGTTGAGATACCCGGCGGGGGATGGTTTTCAGATCAATGACTTGAGTCACTGACCAAACATCCTTATACAGATACATTTTAATACGGTAATCAGGTCTGAAATTTACGTATGAAGCTTAAAATCAACCGTATTGTATAATTATAAACAATCACCGCCGTTGAGGGATAATTTCACCAAGCCACGCGATCCAAACTAGCCAGGCCCAAGTTGGAGCTTAGACGCCCAATGATCCCTGCAAAGAGTCAGCCTTAGCCATGGATATCCATGGGTTCAAGCGCCACTCCGAGGCTTGGCTTCGGGTAGGGCCATGCCGGCCGATGTTGTTTCAGCCATGGACTCAGATATTGGCTACCCTGAAGTGATCAAAAGACGAATTGCTGGGCAGTCTACTGAGTCCAGTACGAGGTTCTAATTAATTCCTATGGTTACAATGACTCAAATTTGTGCATATGGTCGGGTTACATCTGCAGATAAAAGTCTTACAGCATTGTGACAGCTGTACTGTGCCTTGCAGATAAATGAAACGTTGATCTCACGGCATACGCCAGCCATGTTTGCCAACATGAGAAACATCATATCATCTTACTCATACTGATCTCGCATCAACATCAGCGGTGTCCCTACTTGCAACATGCGCTAGAAACAAGCCAAACAAGGAAAGAAATTCCGATCACCAGATCAGAGACGAGAGTTCACTTTCTTCAACTCTCCTCCATCAGACTCATTCTCACCCAAGATCTCACGAGCAAGAGCCCTTCCAGCAGCACGTCCCGAGAAGATACATCCTCCAACAAACGTTCCCTCAAGAGAATTATACCCATGTACACCTCCACCACCAAAGCCCGCAACTTCACCAGCTGCGTATAATCCAGGGAATGGCGTACCGTCTGCTCGCATGACGTTACTATCCAGATTTGTCTCAATACCACCCAACGTCTTGCGTGTAAGAATATTCATCTGCACAGCGATCAAAGGTCCATGGGCCTTGTCAAGGAGTCTATGAGGTGGAGCAACTCTGCTTCGACGATCAGCCCAGTATGTTCGCGCATTGTTGATAAGCATTGCTTGTGCGTCCTTTGAGTATGGGTTGTTGAACTGGCCGTCTCTTGTTTCGACCACCTCTTTGATAGCGTCGAACTCCAGTAGTGGACCATTGCGTTTCTTGGCGAGCTCATTCATACCGACTACTAAATCCTCCAGGTTATCGCGGACAACAAAGTCCTTGCCGTACTTTTGAAAGTTCTGAACAGGGACGGTGCCTTTCTTTCCAAAGACTCGGGTGAGAAGCATCCAGATGCTCTTATTAGTAACATCGGGATTCTGCTCTGAGCCAGAGAGTGCGAATTCACGGGCGATGATGCTCTGGTCGAGGATAAACCAGGTGTAATCATACCCTGTGCTGCAGATATACTTTAACGTCGCAAGGGTATCGGAACCTGGGTAGAGGAATGGTGGCAGTCGTTTGCCAGTTGCATCGAGCCAGAGAGATGAAGGGGCAGGTAGGACTCTGATGCCATGGTCTGGCCAGATGGGGTTCCAGTTCTGAAGGCCTTCAGTGTAATGCCACATTCGGTCGCGGTTGATGACGTTCGCACCGGCCTCTTCGGATATACCGATCATGCGTCCATCGACATGATGAGGAACACCAATGACGAAGGTTTCTGGGACTTTGGGACCTAATCTCTCGACAGGCCATGCCGCCTTGACGGCATCGACATTTCCTCCAATGCCGCCTGAAGAAACGACAACTGCTGAGCCGTAAATTTCAAACTTGTCTTTTTCAACTCGGTTCGACTTGACGCCACGAGCAGCATCATCATCCTCCAGAATTGTGCCCCGTACTCCAATAGCACGTCCGTTGTCGTCGATGATCAACTCATCGACTCTGTGTCTGAACTTGAAGGTGACGATGCCGTTCTCTGCAGCTTTCTTGACAGGGTCTGCAAAGATCTTGACAACCTCTGGTCCTGTACCCCAGCTAACATGGAATCTTGGAACAGAATTTCCATGACCATCTGCAGTGCCATCACCTCTCTCGGCCCATCCGACATTCATCAAGAAGCCGAGGCCTCTCGCCCTGACATAATCCTCCATCTCATCGGCGGCAAAATCCACAAAGGCTTTGGCCCACTTACGCGGCCAGTAATCCTCCTTTTCACGATCAAATCTCGCTGAGCCCATCCAATCTCTGTACGCCAGCTCCTTGGAGTCTTTAATCCCCATTCTTCGCTGATACGAAGAATCGACCATAAACACGCCACCCAGCGACCAAAAAGCTTGTCCGCCGATGTTTTTCTCATTCTCTTGGTCGACCAACAGAACGGGGACTTTACGCTCTGAGAGTTCGAAAGCTGCGACAAGGCCAGCGAGGCCAGCGCCAACGATGATGACGGGTTGTTTCTCTTGAGGAGCCATGATTAAATTGAGTGATTATGTTTTTGGAAAGAGAGAGAGAGAGAAGCGGCGCAGGCGGACACGCAGAATATGAAGACGGAGGTTCGGGACGCGCGGGGTTGAATCACCCCGAATAGAGTTGGTCTACCCTTGTCGATGCCTCGGCTCCTAGAACATGCGCCAAGCCACGGCCGCAGATACAAGGACTGCAAGACTTGTATATAGAGACGGCACTTCTTACGGGTTGCAATAACTGGAAAATGGCATGATCAGGCGATTATAGAGTTTACTTGGTCTCATTCATCAATTACGCGTTTATACGACCTCAGGTATCCGGGTTCCGAAATTCGAACTCAACGCCGATCTCCAGAGCACTTCTAAATATCAATCAATCAATCTCTTGCAAATCATAGACCAAGATCAGGCTTCTTGGCCTGCTCGATCTTGAGCTTCTTCTCTTCCTCCGAGAGCTTGTCCCACTCAGCCACGTTCTCGTCCCAGAGCCTCACGCACTCCACGTTCCAGTTGCAGTCCTCGACCTGGCCGTATGCTGGATGACGGTAGCGAGGATGCTTGCTGGGCCAGTTGGAGGCATGGTAGTGGTGCTTAACCAAAGCTCCACGAGAGTCGTGGTTGCCAGAGTCTGAGTGGCCCTGTCCAGCACAAAAGGCCTCGACGTTGAGAACAAGAACCCGACCGACAACTCTGGACTCATCCAGGTTGTGGAATAGATCCCATGTGACCTTTCCACCACGATGGTTCTTGCGCATCTGCTCCAGCAAGGCTCCTGTAAAGGCAGAAGGACCAGTGCCGCTGATGACTTGGTCAAAGGTAAGCTCGATATCTCCTAGAGCAACCTTTTGTTTCTTTGCTTCAGCCTTGAGCCAGACCATGATATGCTCGATAAGGTGGAGCATAACTGGTTGGTGAGGCTTTGCAATGATAGTCCATTGGCAGAAAGACTTTGATTTCTTGCCTAGG